CACCTCTTGCCCTACAGCCATAAACTTTAATGATGCCTTAATCAGACAAGCCTGACAAGCAATAGCTTTTGCCTCATACAACACAGGATGCAGATTTAGAGCAGAGCAAGGATAGGTAGAGGGTCTTTTCATATGTGTGTGTGTGCGAGTGTGTGTGTGTGTGTGTGTGTGTGTGTGTATGTGTGTGTGTACCTGAGTGTGTGACTGTGTGCGTGTGTGACTGGGTGTGTGTGTGTGACTGGGTGTGTGCGTGTGTGACTGTGTGTGTGTGTAACTGAGTTTCAGTTTTAGTAAGAGTTTTACGGCACTTGCAAAACAATATTATGTCATATAAGTGCCCATGACTAGAGGTGTTACAAGAGAGTAACATACACAAAAAAGGAGGAGAGATTAGGATGATAGACGTTTGATAGGAAAGAAGGAGCAAACCATGAGTATGTGTGTCTGTTTGTGTGTGTGCCTGTGTTTATTTTGTCCTTCTTCCCGGAACGTTTTCTGACAAGATCAGAGGGGAAACAACTTGTGTGTAACAATATTTCCCCGTAAAGTTGTAGAAAACACATTCTTCTTCCTAAAGAGAGGGGATGTGTAAGGCTCAAATGAACAATACCCTCCGCTGATCAAATGTTGAAAGAGTATAGCATCCCACTCCCACTATCCATTGAACATCTAGATCTACTTTCCTTTTTATTGTTGTTCACAATCTGGGCAAAATTTTCTACGGGAAAATCCATGAAGTTTGTCACAAGTCATACTGCTCCTGTCCCTGTCCACATGATCATTGTAATTCTAACCTCTATCAGGTATTTATTAGTTTTATTTAGTAAGAGTTTTACTGTACTTGCAACACAATAAGGTCATATAAGTGCCGAAGATTAGAGGTGTCACAAGCGAGTAATAAACACAAAAAAGAAGGGAAGAGAGATCAGGACCATAGATGTTCCATAGGACAGAAGGAGCAAACCACACCAGAGCACCTGCCAACCACCCATTATCAGGTGTGAAGTTCCGATGATGATCACAGAAGCAGATTTTTCAAGGGACAAATTTTTTAATTCTAACATGTGCTTTGAGAGTAAATAACATGTACATATATATTTAAGAAACAAAGAGATTTCTGTGTCCAGCTGACTCAGCTATGTGCCTGCTTGGTAGTGTATTCCCCGCCCAACCCACCCCCCATTACACATACAAAAACACACCGATAAGAATGACACAGACACACACACACAGATGAGAACCACATAGACACACACATAGACACACACACAACAAGGCACCTGGGCACAGAGGAGACCAATCTGGCAACCACTCACCTGTCTTTTCTTTGATCTCACATAAAACATTGAACAGGGCGGGCTTCATTCTATGGCAGTTCAGGGTGTGCTTCCTGTGGACAAAAATACACACCTGTGGTCAGCTCGGGGGTTCCCTGACATTTCTCTTTAGAAATTTTTGTTAGTTTTAGTAAGAGTTTTACGGCACTTGCAACACAATAAGGTCATATAAGTGCCAAAGATTAGAGGTGTTACAAGAAAGTAACAAACATAAAAAAAGAAGAAAGGACGATAGATGTCTCATAGGAAAGAAGAAGCAAACCACACCAGAGCACCCGCCAACCACCCACTTAGTATGTGGTTTACGACGCTCGCAACTGCATAAGGTCATATATATATATGAGCGCCAAGGGCTGGATGTCATATATATGTTTTAGTAAGTGTTTTATGGCACTTGCAACACAATAAAGTCAAATATATATATATATATATAAGTGTCGAAGATTAGAGCTGTTACAAACAAGAATGTAACAAACACGAAAAAGAAGGAGGAGGGATAAATACGATAGATGTTTGACAGGAGGAAAGAAGAAGCGAACCACACCAGAGCACCCGTCAACCACTAACAATGTAAACAGAAAAATTTAAACGGGGAATCAGGCGTACTCTGCTCACCTCTCTAGCTTAAACAACGCAAAGCCTGCTTCGACTATCAAGGCACCCCGGAAATAGCGGGTCACAAGAGAGTGACAAACATACAAAAGAAGTAGAGGAAAAATGACCATAGTTATAGTAAGGATGAGGAAAGAAAAAGCAGCAGTTCCTCCCACTTCAATGGAACATTTTAGTTTAGTTTTATTGTGAGTTTTACGGCACTTGCAACACAGTACGGTCATATAAGTGCCGAAGATTAGAGGTGTTATAAGAGAGTAAAAACACAAAAAAGGATAGATAAGGACGATAGATGGTAGATAGGAAAGAAGAAGCAAGCCACACCAGAGCACCCGCCAACCACCCACTTAGTTTAGTTTTATTATGAGTTTTACGACATTTGCAACACAGTAAGGTCATATAAATGCCGAAGAAAAGATATGTTACAAGAGAGTAACATACACACAAAAAAGGAGGAGAGATAAGGATGATAGATGTATTGTTTGATTGGAAAGTAGGAGCAAACCAAACCAGAGCACCCGCAAACCACCCACAAAAAGGACTATAAATGACACACAAAAATACATGTATATCTGTGTCAACAAAGAAAACCCCACAATTCCCACTACCCAATAATTCACCGACTTCATGACACACGACCAAACAATTCCCACTACCCAATAATTCACCGACTTCATGACACACGACCAAACAATTCCAACCCTTCTTAAGCTCTGACATTCCAATAATCCCCTGGATCGTACTAATAAATAAAAATCCTTTCTATATTTACCATAACTCAAAAAAATCTGTTGCCAACCAGCATATTCAGCCAGTATAAAGAAAGCTTTACTTTGTAACATGAATAAATTAGACCACACAAATGCGAAAAACATTTCTAAAAATATGGAAGAGGAGAAAGGTAACCACAATGACTGAAGACAAGGGTTGGGGCTAGGAAACAATTTAGCCGCGCTTCAAAAGTAATTCACTCTTGGCAGACGTTTCCAGCTTTCCAAAAAGGAATCCCTAATAGTAATTCAGGGACATTTTTTTTTTCAATTCATTATCAGGATCTAAAGCCAGGTCTCCCCCCCCCCCCCAACCCCCCCCAAAGGGACCCGCACGAGTCTAGTCTATTTAACAATATATGTGATTCATCTTGGTGAAATCAGGCGCTCGTCAAAATCATGAAATTTAAAAAAAGCTATTTTCCCACAAGTACGGCAATTTTTATCTAAATTTGTTTTTTTGGCTAAACACCTTTGTTGTTGATATGAAAGCATATTTTATGTCCATGGAAATTTGACTGAAAAATCTTGTTTATAGGCACAAAACATGTAGTTTTCAGTTTTCAAGGACTCTTAAAAGCTCTTGAATTTAAAAATACAAAACCTTGGTGGCCATTTCCTCATTAATTTAACCGCTGGAAACAGGCTACTCCATCTTTTCAATCGCAAATATCTCGACTTCTATTTAAGCTAGATGGATATTTTTTCACAGAAAGCACGGCAAATGAAAAAGCTTTCAGGTGACATCAATAACTCCACATCCATAAAAATTGACGAGCGCCTGATTCCAGCATGTCATGACACATATTAGTATTAGTATCTTTCCCGTGCCCTCACATTTAAACGTAAATATGCCGCTTTAAAAAACATTTGAGTGAATCATTCTTAAGAAAGCGTTTCTACTGACCTCTCATTAAATTTTATATTTTATGTTAACCCTATACCGTACGCCCTGCTGTCATTTTGTACCCCCCCGGGGTTGTATTCTTCCCATTTTAGAATACTTCAATTTTATATATATATATCTCTTTGAAACTTTCAGTAGTATTTCTCAAAAAAATAATTTTAACAGACTGCTATAATGCAAAGCGTAGAGATTGGATTAACGAGTAAATTCCCTCTTTAGAAAGTGGTGGCACAGAGTTCCCCACGTCGTCTGATACGATAGTAAAACACGACGTACGGATAGGGTTAATGAACACTAAGCAATAGAAAGGGCAGCTCTCATGGTCTAGAGGTATGGTATTCGCCTCTCGTGCAATAGGATCCAGGTTCGAAATCTAACAGCAATGGAGGATTTTCTTGTTCTCTAAAATTTTCTTTCACCTGCTCTCTAATCAGACATGTTCTCTGATCTCGCTGTCATCTCCACTTTCTCCCCCCCCCCCTCTCCTTTTTTACCCCTCCTGTGGGTTCCTGAATCTTTCTGTTGCCCTTCTACTGCTACGTCCTGACTCCTACTGCTTCGCCTGGCTCCTTCCTGCTGTTTTTCAGCCACACACCTGAGGTGTAAGAATTTAACACCGAGCTCTCTCGGATGTAAGGAAGGGCGAAAAAATCTCAGAGCTGCGCACGCCCTTGGTGATCCCAAAATAGATTATTAAAAGAGTACAGGCATCTGCCACTAACCCTGGCAAAACTCAAGATTAATTCAGGTCCTATCAAACTCAAACTGAAATTGCTGAAAATGTGTTCTGTGCACTCAATGACCTTATGTGTAGTTGTTTACGAGCGCCATGAAAAAAACACTTACAAAAACAAAAAATGTGAGGCAGTGTGGTGAAATCAGGTGCTTGTCAAAATAATGAAATTGAAATTGAAGAAATTGGCATTTTTTCGCCGGTTTGGCAATTTTTTATAAAAAATTTGTTGGGTTTTTTCTTGGCTCAACACCTTTCATGTCCATTTAAGAACCCATTTTGAATGTGGGTTTTACTGACATATTTACATTGATTAATAAAGGCACAAAAAATGTAAATTTCAGTCTCCACAAACTGTCAGGCTATGTAAATAACCAAATTTTGGCGGACATTTTTCGTTAATTTTACTTACCTTTGAAACCAAGCAACCCCCACCTCCTTCAATCGCAAATATCTTGACTTGTAATTTGTATTCCGAGATAAACAGGTCATGTATTTCACTCATCGAAAGCAAGCTTCAAGATAAACCAATAACTCCACAGGCTCAAAAATCGACGAGCGCCTGCTTCCACCACGTCCTGACACAAATACAAACAATAGAAAACCCAGGGACAAAAAACTATAATCCATTCCAGAAAAACAGATCTTCAAGACCCAAGATAGGAGATTATCGAGAGTCTATAAAAAGTAAGTAAGCGCAAGCCAGTTTGAGGGGTTAGAGACTACACGTCATGTATAGAGGCACATGATACAACTTTGTGTCACACTTTAATAACGCCCAAGAGGCCAGATAGAGAAGGTGAGAGAGTTAAGTTTTTTTTAAAAAGGAGGTGTTTTAAACTTTGGCACTAACTCTGCATTCTTCAAAATTTTATTTTCTTTAAAAACTCATCCCATTGTAAGCAACAATTTCCCATTCCCAGACCAGAGTCCTGGGGCCATTTTATTAGCGAAGTGACTATTTCTCAGAACGCTCGGGATAATAAACTTGAGCTCTGTTTCTCCGATCGGTTTCCGTTCTCGAGTTTTGTGGGTTATTTGCGAGAGTTTGGCGTCATCTTTCATTCTGTCATTCTGCGAGGACTGGGAAGAAGCATTTTTTGCATCGAATTCAATTTCTAGAGCTAAAAATGTTAAGTTGTGACCTGAATATTCACACATCTTCAATTGTAGTTGAGGCAACGCTCCCGGACTATACATTGTACTTCATTTGAAAATGCCTTCCAAAAGTTGCGAGAAAACAAGACTTCTAGGCTCGACTTTAGTAGTAGATCTAGTAATCTATTTTGCATTTAGTTGCCCCAAAAGCAAAAACTATATCACAAAAATCCCCCCCCCCCCCTACACACATGTGGGTGCACACTCACACACCGGCCACTCCATTCACATCATCATTGCCTTTCTCACCCTGGGTCAGGATATAGGCCATGACCAAACACTCTCCACCTTTCCCTATCCTGGGCTAGTCGCTTGATGACACTCCACGTCTTCCCACTCCATTCACAAATAACCAAAAAATGGTAAGATTGAAGAATACTGGACCAGCGGATTAGGAACTACTTTTGCCTACTATGTCTCGACAACCTTAGCCTTAGGCCTTAGGAATTCATGATTTCCCCCAGTTTTTAATCTCTCTCAATGAAGAATCTTGGACCGGAAGCCTAGGCTCCTACTCCTAGACAATTCATCAAAAGTTTGGGAACAGGGGTG